TCTCATACTGTGTTTGAAGCAACAAACCAAAAAAAAAGTTCGTAGAACATTGCAGATACTTAAGCAGTAATAGGGCACTATATATTCTTTATCAGTATCTGATGGGCACATTCCCCTCTAATTCTAATTCTGTCAAGAAATCTTGAACAAGTATAGATGCAGGTGAGGCCAGGGAATCTAACAGTTAGGGTGTAAGACTGTCAACTCCAGTGCGAGAAAAGATTCGAGCAACTCCACTGGTAGAGTACCTCTGATAATATCAGCAGGAAGACACTTTTTTTTCTCTTTTTGGGTCATGGCTGACAATGCTCAGGGGTTACTGCTGGTTCTGTATTCATAAATCTCTTTTGGCAGTGCTCAGGGGACCATATGGGATGATGGAAATTGAACCTGGGTCAGCCATGTGCAAGGCAAATGCCCTACCCACTGAACTATCACTCCAGCCCTGGAAGACACAATTTTTGAAAGCAAGAAGAGAGTGCTATGAGCTAAAAGGTTTCCAGGGGGCTGCTGAAGGGTTGCTGACACTTCAGTAGTGAGATGGGGTGCATATACCCCTAAAGCATAAGCATTTATACTCCTGCAAAATAATGCTACTCCAATGAAAGCTAAAACAAAACAAAATAAAACAGAACCCACCAAAGAAAAATCTGGAGCCAAGAAAGAGTATGGTGTGGTTAGGGTACATGCTGAAAAAAAGAAAACAAACAACAAAGAAATCTCTCTTTGCACGATCTTTCCTCTGTTCACTAAGAGAGCAAATTCAAGAAATAAAAATATACTTTAAGATTGTGCAAGAAATAAAAAAAAAATAATAAACAACCAAATCACTACATTAGAAAGGGAACATCCACTTAAAGAGGTAACATAGTCTTTCCTGAAATCCTGCTTTGACCAGCATAAGGTTAGAAATTACCTGCATCTCCAAACTGGCCATATAAGTCAAGATTCACCTTGTGGTGCCAATAGTATGCAGTTATTATAAATACTAGATGGCACTTTATGACAACTCCAAATAAGCTCTTAAATACACCGGGAGGAGGAGATCATAGTACAGGATCCCTGTACTATGGAGAGAAGGTGAAGAATACAGATAACATGTGGCCACATAGGCACAAAAAGAGGCCAATGTGTTATCTGCAAGGGAACAGGGACATTGTTCAAGAAGTGCTGAGTGACAGTTGCCTACAGTCAGAAAGGGGCCTCAAGTCGGGATAGGAAAGTAAGGGCTCAGATTTGCCAGCAGTGTTTTAATCTTTGTACCCTGTGACTGTGTTTCCCATTCAAAAATGAATCTCAACTGTGATCTGTGACATGCCAAGTCAGCGGACACTGGAGCACAGGAAGCAGAAAAAAATGACAGTGGCAGCCAGGGATGAGGTTCCTGAGCCAGGGGCCCAGCACACAGCCGCTGCCGGCACGGGGCAGACAAGCTCACACATGCTCTCTTTGTTGTGGGCACTGGCATCAGGCAGGAGGCAAAGGAGGCTTTACAGGCATTCCAGAGGCATGACAGCTCCATGAAAAAAAAAAGATGTGTATAAATAATCCCTCCTGTGGACCAGGTATTCTGCTGACCAAAGCATATGGAGAGGCAGAGGCAGTGAAATACACAGGAGGAAGTCCAAAGAGCCAAGAGGGTAGAGCACCCTTGGCAATGATGGCCATGGTCGGAATTAAAGGTGGAGAGGTCTGAGAGAGAAGTTCTGCTTCTCACTGCAAAATCCCATGGCACTGGTCCTGAGAGAAGTACAGGGGCTTAAGAACATATGTGGCCACCTCCAGTTTCATCTCCAGCATCCCATACAGTTCCCTGAGCACTGACAAGAGTGAATTATGAACACAGAGCCCGGAGTAAACCCTGAGCACAGAAGGGCATAGCCAAACACTGTCCCAAGCCAACACCACCACACACATACATACAGACACCCCCCCCCAAACAAACAATCAAACTCAAAAACATCCATGCACTGACTATTTTCAGGGGAACATCCCGCAGATGGAAAAACAGCAACATAAAAGTCCTCCCCTCCATTCCAGGGTAGTGAATCAGTCCACAGCAGGGGCATTCCAATATGAAGAGCAACAGCACAGTAAAGTAACATGTATCACTAGCTTCAGGTTCAATGTCCTCAGTGTTGCATGTGGCAGACATGGCCCAACCATCTGCAGTGTCCACTTCCTCAGGGAGGAGCAGAGTGAGTCAAGGTCCAGGCCTGGCCCTTTATCCAGCCCATTATTTCCCAGAGAAGGGCTGGATACCACGCACAAGAGGGTGCTTCGATCTTCTAGTGGGGAACAGGAGCAGCCTCAGTACAACTGTGAATGCAACTGTTTGTTTGCTTAAAGAAGGTGGAATTCCAGGGGTGCGGGTGGGGCCGAGTGATCTGCAAAGGAGGCAGTGGACCAAAATAGTTTGAGCATCTGCTAAAAATGGGTATGGACGGGAAGTGTGGAGCCAAGTGGGTCTCCCTGTTTCCGCCTGGGGACACCTTGGCCCAGTTCCTATGGAGAAATGGCTGCTCGGGTGGTAGTGCCCTCTGATAAGAAGAGAGTTTCAGTGCAGGCTGTGGCACCTGGGCCTGGCTGTGGCACCTGCGCCCCTCTGCTCAGGCTTCTGCTGGAAATTGTTTCCTAAGTACGGTTGTGTTGGTTGCCAGATCTCAGCTGGAGTGGGGGCTGGAGGCCAGCAGCAGACTGCAGGCAGGAAATGAAGTGGAAAGAGCTCAGGACATGGGCGGAGGTGGGACAGACACTCAGCTGCCGGGGCAGGCAGCAAGACCTAGGACGTCAGTCCTTGATCTAGAAAATGAGGAACCTGACCTTTCTAGAGCTTTCCCTGGGTTCCTGCCTCACTTCTGCAGGTGTTAAACGATTTCAGTGGTTAGGAAATCCATAAAAGCAGTACTGAGTTACATATTCCTAGAACACACCACTCTTTGTACAGGTAAACCAGCTCTAACTGGAGCAGAGGCATTCGGTTTCTGGCGGTTGGTTGATTTTTATATAGGGGCCACACTTGCAGAGCTGAGACTGAATATAGGACCTCACCATGGCCTAGAGCCAGTCTCCACAACCCCTCCCCCGTCAGTCACATGCAAGGCAAGTGCCCTCCCTAATCACTGTACTATCACTTTTATTTATTTTTTATGTTTGAGGAATGATACATGTCATGCTCCACATTACTGCTCTGGGCAAACAGAAGATAAACCAGACCTAGTCCTGCCTTTAAAGGCCCCACAGTTCAGAACCATCAGGTCCACTTATATTCCAACAACTTCCAAATAACCTCATCAGAAACCTTGAAATAAAACTATGAGTAAGAACAAAGAGAGCAGACACCACAGGAGCTGGGCACCAGAGAAATCACTCGTTAGGAAGTTAAAGGGGCAATGAACAGAAGAATAAAACAGAGCTGCCCTTATGTAAGAGGGAGACAAGATGGGGGTGGCAGGAATAAGAATGTGCCATGCAGGCTAAAGATGGCCAATTGAGCAGGGACAGCTGTTAGTCTAATCTGGTGCTCCCTGAATGGATACACACTTCTTTCGGACTTTAACCTGTAAATACTCCACTATGATATTAAACCTCACATTCAACCTGCACATAGTGCACAACTTAATATGCTTTCAGTTTACTGGGGGAGGACTCTCAAAGGGATCCATTAGTAACTCAGCTAACCAAGGGTCTATGCAATGGCCCGAAGACAGTGTTGCTTGGCTGGGCCCTGTGGTGCTGGGGATACCTGGGCCGTCCCCCACAGTGCTAGCCCCTTCCAGGCCTGGCAATGCTCAGGGGACCACGTGATGCTGGGTATAGAAGTAGGTCGGGTATGTGCTAGTTATCTCTATACTATCTCCCGGCCACTTGGTTTCACTATAAAGCCATCAAGAATTAGGCAGTGCAGCAAGATAGAAGCAACAAATCCAGCTAGTCCCCACTCCCCACCCCCAATCTTCTCTTAAGCTCAGTTGAAAGCTTAAGACAAATAATGACTGGTTTCTCCAGTCATTATTGGGAGCCAGGCTCACATCTCCACTACCTCTTGTTCCCAGATATTGGCGACTCCTGGTCCTCTATGGAGAATAGCTTGGGCTGGTTAGTGCTTTGCAACCATGTGCAGAAAGAACTGAATGGCAGAGGAAGCAGAATGTGATGGGGTCAGAGCTCAAAGCTTAGGAGGTCTTTAAAGCCTCATATTTGATATATTTTAAAATGTACACATAATTCTAGGCTGGAGCAATAGCACAGCAGGCAGGGAGTTTACCTTGCATGCGGCCAACCCGGGTTCGATTCCTCTACCTCTCTCAAAGAGCCCGGCAAGTTACTGGGCCCGCTCAAGCAAATTGATGAACAACGGGAGGACAGTGCTACAGTGCTACACACAATTCTGGGCTAAAGCAATAGTATGGCGAGCAAGGTGTTTGCCTTGCATACAGCCGATCCAGTTTCGATTCCTCTGCCCCTCTGGGAGATCCTGGCAAGCTACCGAGAGTATCTCGCCCGCACAGCAAAGCCTGGCAAGTTTTTTTTATCACATGCTGGAGCACATGCTCTGCATCCTGGAAGCCCAGGCTCCATCCCTGTCACCATACAGTCCCCCAAGCACCACCAGGAATGGGTCCCCAAGCACTGGGCTGATAGCAGTCCTTGAGTACCCCTTCGTGGGCTCCTTACCCTCCCTCCTAAAAATGACCATAAATAAGAACAGAGAATGCCCATTTTCTACATTACTGACGACTCATAATGCAGTTTATATTCAACAGATGCAGTGAGATGCTGGACCAGCTGAGGATGATGAGAAAGCCCATCAGGGCCAGGTCAGAAGCAGGAAGCAAAGCTTGGGCTCTCGGGCCTTGCTCCCACCTCATTTCTCATGAGTCCCCTCTCTCCACCTGGTGCCGGGGGCCACGGGCACTGTGTCATCCAGGAAGATACTCCCATACGGGAAGATGTTGCCTCAGGACCAAAAAATGAAGCTTGTCAAATCTAATCAAATAATGACTCTACTTCCTGGGATCATTTCTATAGTTCATTAGTAGAGAAGTTTCTCTGATTGTGTAGAGCACCTGAAACCATGAAGAGGAGGCAGAGCATCCTCTCCTGGGTGTGAAGCTGGTTCTAGGCGTTGCTTTTGCAACTGCCCTTTGCCACTGATGAGCAGTCTTCTTCCTTTGGAAGTGAGAGGGAGAGGATGATGCAGTCTGAGTGGTTCCGTTTAAAAAAAAAACTCATTAAATAAAAGTCTGCGGTTCTCTGTAACCCAAACATAGCACCAAAAAACCAAAGATCGTTTAGGCATCTGCATGTTCACATTTTCTCTTCCTCTTCCAAGCCCCGTTTTCTCTCCCTTGGTTCAAGACACTCTGAGAGTTTCCAACTGCGTAGAATGACCGCCCCACCCCACCAAAATCTTGTTGAGCCCCTCCCAAGGGAAACCTTCATCTTTCACTTGTCTCTGTAATCCACCAGACTCTAAAGAAACGGCTTCAAAGACTCTGCCCTGAAGGAAATGATATTTTAGGACTCCCACCTAAAGGTTGATGCCAAAGGAATCTAGCACCATGTTTAGTGCCCTCGATGACCCACAACTCATCTTAAACCTATGCTTACTATACGGATGAGCACCAGCAAATTCCTCAAGGAGAGAGCAACAGAATGTAGGGAAGCTGGGATTTCAAGCCCACGTTCCTCAGCCTTTGAAACAAGAATGGAATCCAGTCACGAAAAACCTCTTGACAGGTACTTGGTGACTTGGGTCTCATGCACTATTTTCATTCATTGAAAAAGTAGAAGCAGTGGGAGCGGGAGGTGGGAGTACAGGGGAAGTGGGGGGAAATCTCACCATCTCCCAGCCTCCCCCCATCTATCTGCCTCCCACCATCAGTGTCCCATTGTCCTATGAGGAGCCGCCTAAGCTCCAATAAAGGCTAACTCCCTCCTGCCAGATCTTTTGTGCTTCACAGATACTCTACAGAACCTCCTCTAGGTCCCCATTCCTTTCGGACTTAAAGCATCCGCAGCTACAAACCAGCTACCACCTCACTACCGCTTTCTTATATCTTTCAAAAAATGTTTTCCTCTTGACTTCTGTTTTCCCTTCAACCCTTGCCCCATTGGCTCTTTGCTCTGCTCCTCAGCAAAACCAAGAGTTTCTGTTCTCTGACTCCCGTTCCTCTTTTAGCCCTTCACCAACCCGATGATTGGCATTGCCTTTCCCCAACCCCAACCCCCGCCACCACTGCCAGGGCTCTGACACATGGTCAGAGTGTGGCGCCCATATGGCTTCACCAGGGTCAATTCTTTTTTTTTCTTTTTGGGGTCACACCCAGCGATGCACAGGGGTTACTCCTGGCTCATGCACTCAGGAATTACACTCTTGGCAGTGCTCAGGGGACCATATGGGATGCTGGGAATCAGACCTGTGTCGGCCACGTGCAAGGCATAAGTCCTACTCACTGTGCTATCACTCCAGCCCCACCAGGGTCAATTCTAAGAGTCGTTCCACATAGCGGAGCCTACGCTCCCTCTCTGAACCCCCTCACCATATGCTTTCAGGACAGCCCTATCTTCTGGGGGTCCAGTTCTGTCCAGTTTCGTACTCCTTAATCCCCAAGTGGGGGCAGTCACTGTTTGGTCATCAATCTCTGTCCTCCTCTCGCCCCCCTCTCCCCCCAACCGAGGATCATCATAGCCCATTACCCTAAATACCACTTCAACATCTATGTCTCCACTCTATGCATCACTAAGCCAAAGCTTTCCATCTGAAAAGTCAAACTTCCTTCCAATACTGCTCGATGAAGCCACCTGGCTGTCTTGACATCTCCAACCCTACCTTGTAAAAAGTCAAATCCTGTTCCTGCCCCTGAGTCTATTCAGCTCAGAGTCTTGCCTAAACCACTGTACAAAAAACAATCCGTTCAGTGGTTCAGGCCAAACCTTGGAAACATTCTTTCCTGCTCTCTCACACTGCATACCTAGTCCATAAGAAATCTGTCAGCTCCAAATTCAAAACACACCCAGGATCTAACCACTTCTTACCATCTTCACTCCTACTCTGATCCAAGCCGTCACCAAATCTTACCTATTATTACAGAAGCCGCCTAATTACTAGTCCCCACTTCTATCCTCACCCCCATTCTGTGCGTGCTCAATAGTCTCGCAACTGGAAAAAAATTATTTAAAATCCACATTAGCGTCCAGGAAAATGGTTGTAAGGTCTGGAGTCCTATTTGATACTATGGTCCCCTGAGCATCCCAAGGAGCAATCCTGGAACACCAAGCTGGGAGCTGCCCCCATGCAGAGCGAGGTGTGGCCCTGAAACCAAAGTAAAGAAACTAAACTAAATTAAAGACAGAATAGTTCATCCTCTTCTCAGAACACTACATGGACTCTAAATGAAACTCTTCTCAGTTTCTTTCAGAGTAACAAATAAAGTCTTTCAGTCACAATGTGTCTTCAAGAAGACTAGGGGCTGGAGAGAGAGCACAGCGGGTAGGGCGTTTGCCTTGCACGCAGCCGACCCAGGTTCGATTCCCAGCATCCCATATGGTCCCCTGAGCACCCCCAGGAGTGATTTCTGAGTGAAGAGCCAGGAGTAAGCCCTGTGCATCGCCGGGTGTGACCCAAAAAGCAAAAAGAAAAAAAAAAGAAGACTATGTCTCTCCTCCTGCTCTTTCATATGCCAGGCATGTTTCTGCCTCATGCCTCAGGGCCTTTGCACTTACTAGTCAGAAATGCTTGTCCCCACCCCAAGGGTGACAGGGTTTAATTATCCTCTGCCTTGGTGAAGTTCTCCCAGGCTGACTTACTGCCAACTATTAGGTTGGTAGTCCCTTTGCCCTTTGCCCATGCCCTCTTCCCTTTCTCCTCTGGTATTTTCCTCTTTACCTCTTATTGCCAACTAAAGCAATACACTCATTTATTATCTCCTGCATCTGCACCTAAGTTGGAATTTTACCTCTGGTATGCAGATGTATCTTCAGCATCAGATAGTTCCATATGGAACATATAGTAAATGTGTGATGAACATTGGGGGGGGGGAAGTAGGGAGGGAGGGAGGGAGGGAGAGAGAGAGAGGGAGAGAGAGAGAGAGAGAGAGAGAGAGAGAGAGTGTTGTGGTCTCAGCAGATCCAAAGCACATGCACATTTTCCTCAAGTCTTCCTTGTTGCTTATGGTCAATTAAGGATAGAAATCCACATTCCTCTAAATTTGTGCATAAAATATATACAGGCTTTCACACAGAGACAAGCGATGCTTAATGAAGACACTTTGTCATCGTGAAAAATGGCTCACATGGCTCCTGGCTGGGGGCGCTGCTCAACGTGGGGATCACTTTCTTGGCATTACCTGCCGGGACCACCCTAAGGAGGGGTCCCTAGGATGCCTTCCATAATTCCCCCATTTTTTTTCTGAGTTAAGCCCCAGGTAGCAGTTTTCTAAATACAAGACTTATGAAACACTTTTCTTTCTAAACTGACTGATTCGACCATGTTCGGGGTGCTCCGGTACTCTTAAGGCAGCCCCCAAAGTCTTTCCTTCAACTGTGGATCAGTTATCTCCTGTCAACCTTTCCCAAGTCCTCAACCACTAAGCTCCAGAAGTCCAAGGCCATCCAGCTCCACCTTCTCATGCGCTTGTGTGTTCACTGGTAACCTCTTTACCACCCAGATCCTAAGCCAGCTGAGCTTTTTTCTGAGTATTATTCTAAGTTATCCTTGGGCCCAGAGAAGGCACAGGGATTAAGGTACTTGCCTTGCATGCAGTTGACCCTGCTTTGAAACCCATCGCCACTTACGGTACCCTGGTCCCATGGAGTGATCCTTAAGCCAGGAGTGAGCCCTGAGCATCACCAGGTGTAGCTCAAACCTATTCTCCCCACTCTCACTCTCCAAAAAAAGTCACTTAAATTGGTTCTGGTTGAACAGGAAACCATGAGGTCTCTGCAGCAAATGCCATTATCCTGGAATAGCAACACCCTATCACCTATGAGGCTTTAAAGCATTTCCGTATTTGAAAACGCCCCAGTTTATTTTTATGGCAGCAAAATTAGACTCTTTTAAGCCTATTCAGTAAGCTACTGTCTTTATTGAGGGGGAAGAGGATTCTCAAGCAGTACTTGGGGGGGTGGGGCAAGGGGCTCTACTGGTGATAGCTGAGCAACCAGACTGGATGGTTCAATTCTTGAACCCAATGGTGCTAGAGGTCACCAGGGCTACACTGGCGATGCTCAGGAACCACCAGGATGGAACCCAGTGGCTCTGGGGACAGGAGTCATGAGTGTTTGGAGTCCTATTCGGGATCTCAAGATGAGTTAGCTCCCCAGCTTCCCCAATCAATACATTTTGAATGCCTCGCATCCGTTGCCCGTGTTTTACGTTTCTTTTTTATCCTATCTTCAATCTCTCCAGAGCCTTGTGGAATTCCAAATGTTTCCCTATCACTAACTGAACATACCTTCGTTTGCAAGAAACAGACAGAACTCCACTACCAGTAGGTAGAAAGTGGTCAGGCCGTGACTGGACAAATGCATCAGCGTGTAAGGAACAACGAAGGGTTCCTTCCTCTGCTGGACAAGGAGAGAGCAAGAAGCTCCAAGTGCAACCTCGAAATCAGAACCAATGCAGATGCTCCATCCATAGCCCAATAGCCCAGAGTGGATGATGCCCATCCTACAGGGACACAAAGGTCACAAAGGCAGGAGCCTGATAGGTGACTGACTTCCTATCTCCTGAATCTGAAATATTTCATGTTTATGTGATTCACAATAAAAATTTTCTCTGTGTGAGGTCCAGGAATGGTTCAATGGAGGAAGTACCCACCTCGCAGGTGTGAGGATGAGCTCAGTTCCCAGTGCCATCAAGCTGGTCACAGTGGTCCTGCTGTCTGGGGTCGCTGGTGTGGCCCCCAGTGTACTTCGGCCAGAATGCGTGTGAGCACTGAAGCCATAGCACTGTGAGTACTGCTGAAAGAGTGTGTGCCTCCCAGAGAGCACTGGAAAAATCCAGAGTGAGCACCTATCTGGATATGCTGAAGCACCGTCCTGATTGTGTGTGACCTTTTGAGCTCTGTGGCCAAATGTGCCGCCCTGTAACCAGACATGTGACTCCCAAAGAGCAACACAATGAAGTGTGTGACCCCTAGTCATTGCAGCAACAGCAATAAAAAAAGGGGGGAAGGGATAGGAGAAGGGACTTCAATACAGGCAGGAG